TCCACTATAGTCCGTCTCATTTGAAGACACACCTGGACGAGGTGGCGAACAACCTGAACAAGACATATGAGGTACACTTCGTATTCCTGAGATGAGGGGGGGGGGGCGAATGTGGTGGGCGTGGCTGCGTACTCTATTTGGATAAAAGCGTTTGTGGGATGTTGCCGCTTAAAACAACTGTCATCCTGCCTTATGTTACAGACATAAAATTGCCACAAAACGGCTACAGCCCACAAAATAACAGAGCAGCCATTAACATTAAAATGAATTATGCAACCACGCCCTCTCAATCGCCAGGATATAAAGCGTATTCCTCATACGTTCTCTGACACATAAACCATACCTGCGGTAAGCGGACGAGCCTTGTTGTTTGGTTTGGGTGGGAAACATCGGGCCGTAAACATACGTAACTGATAACCAAGCCGTTTCCGATTGTCGACAATCATGCTTTCATCGCCATTATGAATAGCCTGTAATTATTTCTCAGTCATAAGAGTCCGACAAAATTGTTGAGAATAAAAAAAAGCATGGGAGAAATAATAACATCACCTTCACATGCTTCAATACGTCTGACTTAGCTATCGTTTGCCATGTTTTTTGACAAACTGCACACTGGTAGAGATTCAGTTTTATATGTCTGAAAATATGCAGATAAAAAATAACAGAGATTAGCAAAGATGGGCGCTGTTCGGCTTGGAGGGGCATTCTGCTACTTCCCATCGATCACTTCCGAGGCCTTCTGCAGAGTCCTGTAAATTTCTGTGAACCTATGCAGTAACAGGAGCTTCGTTTACCACTTAACAAGAGTCTACAGGTCCCACCGTGATGTGACATTTATAACAGGAAATAGAAAAGAAACTAGCGAAAGTGCAAAATGCCTCTCCTCCGAGCGACTAGCGTGCGGAAAACATACACCAAAAAAATCATATCAGTCTTGCCACACTAAAAAAAATTTGAAATGAAACACAAAACCAACTTCGTATTTGCGTGATAAACAAGGCTTGAACGCTGATTAGACACTTTTAAGCCGCAAATTTGACAAGTGACGGCATCTTTCGGCTGAAAATCAATTTTCTTGAACTTTAATGGGAAAGTACTCTCCTCTACGTGAAGAGAACTTACAACATAACTGACTTTCCTAATCAGCTCTTCCCCTTCACCGATCAATGCGGCAAAGTCCATTCCTGAGCTCATAGCATCACTGGCGAAATCCATTGGAGACAGTTCAGCTAATGCGGAAGATGTAGTACCGCAACTAGATGGGAAGTTACTGCTATAGTTGTGCATATGATGACCATGCGAAACGTGCAACTGAGAGTTAGCGTCCATGGAGCCTGAATTACCTAATAAGAGGAAATGACTGAATACTGTGGAAGTGAGCGTTAAGTACAAGCTGTAGTCACTGACGCGACGCTTCCAGGAACGACAACAGACAAAAGATCGAGAACCTGGCATGTAGCCGAAGATAAGGCTCCTGGCAGTCTCTCCTGAGCCAGCTCTTCGCCCCTGCTCGTTTTATTTCAGCAAAATGACCTGTCGCAGCCACCGGCTTCGTGTCATCCAATGCTAATACTGCCTAACACTAATACTTCTAACATAGAAAAAAAAACGAAAAACGCCATGTAAAAACTGATTTCGAGACAAGTAACAGCCTCTGACTTTCTGTGGGCGGGACAACTAGGGAGGCGCCAGAACTGCCATTTATGAGAGCTACAGCGCCTTTTTTAGTTGCCGTGAAGCCGTGAAATAGAGGCAGCCCTAAGACTGAGAACCATACTGCTTGTACATGGAAGGACACCTACGGAATGGTTGAGCGCGGGGACTGTCCTCAGGTAGGAAAAGATAGCGCCAGGGTTTCCCTTTTTATGGAGTACATCCAACGTACCCAGTCGTTTCAAAACAGTCCCCGCGCTCAACCATTTCGTAGCCGTCCTTCCTCGTTCAAATAGTCAGTTTGCTCACGACTTCACAGAAAGCAGCGAAGGCGATGTGGCCCTCAGTTCTGACGTCTTCCCAGTCGCTAACTCAGGGGCTATTTTGTGTTATTAGTTCGGCTCATCGTACTTTTGGTTTTTCTACATTGTCAGATGGTCTCACCACTGGATGGCGAAACGAAACGATAGTGAGCCAGTGGCGGCAAGAAATCGTTTCGCTGATCTAAAACGAGCAGGTCCAGAGAGCTCGTATAATGATGCTGCCAAGGTTTCCTTACTTAGGGTTCTCCATGATTTTTTTTGCTTTTTTCGTCACTGAAGAGTATCGTAGTGGATATAGGTTTGTAACTGAATGACTGTATACACATATGCGATTCGCGGGGTTTGTGTTCCAAACTAACAAGAGTGAAGTATGAAAAGTAGAACAAACTGACTTGTAAGTAGAATAAATTCCAACACAGAATAATAAAAGCGAATGCAAACCTGAATAAAATGAGTGTGACGCAGAGCCTGCGCTGGTTGGTATATGGCGTGGAATCTGAGGTACTACTGAAGTGGGAGTAGTAGCGATTCCTGTCGGTGAAGTAGATGGAGGCACAGCGCCTCCAGAACTGGCTGACGATCCGGATCCCGGTTGCGCTGCTCCGGTGGCATGATCCGAAGAAGATCCAGATGGTTCAACGGATGAAGGGAAGCTGTCCGGGTCTTCATACTGAAAACAGGCACTATTCAAACTTACTACAGAGAAACAGGAACAGACTGTAAAGGAATAGGGAGTATTGGCTCCAACACATTTTTCTCCCACTCTCGCTACGTACAGCACTCCCCTCCCCCACAATAACCGTTCCCTTTTCTCAAACCAAACCAAAAAATCGTTCAGGAACAAAACGGACTGTGACAAGCGAAAACTTAGTTGCTATACGGATGAGCTTTAGGAGGACAGATGGAGACGGAGTGATCGACACACACACTGTACACACGACGACACACCTCACACACCCACACACGACACACACACTCACACACTCACAACGACCACAAACACACAAACAAACAAACAACAACAAAAACTCTATCAATTGAGAATATAAAAAAGCCTACGTTTCTTCACCTGATCCATGAAAGATACTACTATGGCCATTGGAAGTTCCCAGTCCAAGGCTATCCTCACATCCACTGCGCTGACGCTGAAGACATGCTCGCATCTAAAAAATCATAAAATGAGCGTTATCAACTTTTATGTAATATTTGAGACATATAATTTTAAAAGGAAGTATGCCGAGAAGTATGAGAACATCAAAGGCATCATTGCAGGACAGAAGGGTGAAGCCTCATATTGCTAGTATATAAAGGGTGTACGTCAAAGATCTGAAGTCGCGGCAACTTAGCGACTCATCGAGCGAACACGTAGCGTGGGAAGTGTGGAGCCGGGGGGGGGGCAGGCCCTCTCGCGGTTTCAGTTACTCATACACCGACACTTGCCTAACAGCCACACCACCTCTCGTGACAAGCCTCATAACAATACAGGCTCGGAGTGCAGACACTTGGTCGCTGCGACTCTAAGCTTCGGGCGATATTGGGGAAAATAAAAAGCGTTCTCTGCCTGCCCCCCTAGCTTCACGACAGAACCCTGCTACTTTATACTATATTGTTGGATATTGGCATTTCAGTTTGTAAACCTATAGTCATATTGACGTCTCCCAGAAAAGAAAGCAAAAGAAAAATTATGGAGAAGAGCCCCAGTAAAGGACCCATATTGACATCTCCGGAAGTTCTCCGGAACTGCTAATTTTATGTCACTAATGCGACATCTTGCCACCTCTGGCTAACTAGTCGTTTCTTCGCGTCTGTTCAATGCTAGTGCCATCTAACAGTTAAGAAATCTGTTAAAACCGAAGCCTCCGAGTTTCGGTGGGCGGAACAACCAGGGAAGCGTCAAACTGACACTTCTTAGGGCCGCAGGGTTAGTTACTTATTGTGAAGCCGAAACTGAGAGACTGTAGACCACACCACTTGAACAAGGAAGGACGGTTACGAATTGGTTGAGCACGGGACTGCCTTCAAACCGGCAAGGAACTCACCTTCAATTTTCAACTCCATAGACTTGCGCTCTCCTTCAATTGTGAAACGATACCGAACCTGAAATTTCCAACTTTACAGCAACAAACCATTAAAATGAACGATAGTAAAACGTACAAAAGAACTCCTTCAGTCCATGGTCGTTCTTGCAATGCGATATTAATGCATATTCTGTGGGAAACTTGGCAAATCGACATCGTTCACACCTGGAAAATATTCATTTTAGGGTTTTACCAAAGAAAGATGAGACCGTGTTCACTAACAATGACTTCGCGGAATGGCAGAATTCCTGGAAATGGTCAGATCGCGGAAATGGGAGAAGAGGAATGTATACGTATTTGATTCGAATCTCACAAAACATCCAGAGAGCGGGGCAAGGCTGCGTTCATACTTTGCGTCGGCGTTATGAGCGTCTCGAGCGTACGCCAGCGTTCTGAGCGATCAGCAGGTATAGGAATCGATCTAGAACACGCCAGCTTATGCCAGCGTATAGCAGCGTTTTGCGCAACTAGGAAAGTATGGAAATCATATCTAGCCTTTTGAGCGTAACCCGGCGTTTTGAGCGCTGGGTTGAGCAGCTCTGGGCTTTCGGCGGGCGGTCGCCCATGCAAAGTATGAACGCAGCCTAACTATCCAAGATTTGCCAACTCCTTCACGCCCTCTTCAAAGAAATAAATGCAAAGCAGAGAAACGAGAACAACTCACTCATATGGACAGTAATTAAGGTGATCACTAGCAATATGGATTTCCAGCTCTTCTGGTGTAGGAAATCTCACAGAATCGCCACTGCAATCCAGGCAGGGATACGACGTTGATTTCATCTGAAAATACAAGGAAATATGAATAGAAGACGAACACTTCTGAGACCATTCATCTTCCCACCATTTGATAACAATTCGACATAAAATATGAATAGAAAGGACGATTTTGGCTTGGATTCACTGTTTTCAATAAGCAGTAAAAACGTAAAGATTTTGGTGATGACCAATCGCTCTTTGGAACGCGCCACGCACTATACTTCAGGCGCTGTATTCCTCGAGGAGAACTATCTGGTAATACTGCGTGAGCGCTTCAGTTGCTTTAATAGTGAAGGAGCGAGAGGAGGGGGTAGCTCAGGGTGGGGTAAACTACCTAATTAGAACGTCCCGCTGCTGGGAAAATTTGATGGAAATACGACCCACTTACTCCTAAGATTCGTCCTCTGGGGCCGACGCCTTTGCCTCGTCTCCCATGCCTAACTATCATCTCTCAATTCTCCAGAGTCCCACCACTTTTACGAATTTCCTTTTGTCTAAAACTCCCCGAAATTCACCAAAAAAAAACTTTGAAAACCGTCGCCTAAGGGAAGGAGTGCAACAGGCAAGCTGAATGGGCATGTTAGGATGTGCCCTACACCTAACGGGTTATAACCCCTTGCAGAAGAGAAGCGGTTAACCCACCCCAGAAGCTACCGACTTCCTTTAGAATGGTAGGCTCACAGCGTCACCCCAAAAGTGCAGACTGACACCCTCCGAAACACACTGCTCGATTTTCGAGCTATACAATGACTTGCGAAAGCCAGTGACGTACACGCCTGTTTTAGAAGAGATAGGTCTACTACCCCTGAAGAGTCCTGGGACCTGTTTGGCTTGGGAGGGACCAGTTGCACTTTCTCTGGTTGCTCTCCTTAGTTCCTTCGTTTAACGAACCCAGGCTTGACTTTAACACGAATTGTAAAATCTTGTGAAGTTGCGAAATGGTGCAAGTGAGCCACTTTGGTTGCAAGGATTCACAGGACTTCACGAGGTGGCCCTTCCAGGCTTTGCGTTCGCCGGGTACCCATTTGGTGCTCCCATCAAGCAAAACTATGCCCAGAATAGGCTAGCAAATAAAATGAAGGTGAATTTATATGAGGAAATAACAAAACTGAGCAATTAGGGCTTGACACATAACCATGGAAACCGCATGCATACATATATAAGCAAAATACTTCCAATAATTGCAACTTCTCTGCAGTAATGGGAGAATATGGGGACATTTGCAAGTTATTTCTGTGAAAATAGTGTGCCCTAAATACTGCCAGCAGCGTTCAAATACCATCTTATAAGAATAAAAATAGCTAGTTCACACAAAGTCCAAAAATCATTCCTGTAGTATGAAAATGGTGTGTTGACGTCCAACATATGTAGGCTCGGAACGGAATAAAAACAGAACGGAATAAAAACAAAATCGATTCACTTAAGGAAGTCGTTTAAATTCAAGCTCATATTTTCGATTTCTAGGAAAAGAAACGTTAAATTAGATCTCAATCCCATAATAGAATTAAAGGGACCATATCAGGACTGGGAATAAGGGTGCTTTCATATTTCTTTTAGATCTGGCTTTGATTACTGGACCATTTCATTAGGATGATAACAGAATGAATATTTTTAGTCATTTTCAATAAAATAAAAAACAACTATTGGTTTCCAGTCCAAAATATTGGCGAAAGACGATATGAGACACAGTTCGCAGCTAACTGCAGTAGTCTAATTAGGAAGTCTAATTTGTTTTGAGTATTACTACGCGCAACGAACTCAGTTAAGGGTAAAAACCTGACAACATCAAGGAAAAGGGCACAATATGGCTTGGTGGAGGCACCGAGTGTTACCCTGCTAGGCTTGTACAGACCCGCTGTTGTTAGGGTTAAATGTGCTAGCTAATGCACCATTTCGCAGCCTCACAAGAATTTGCAGGTCTAACCAAAGTGGGGCATGTTATTCAACATGAACAAAAGGAACTGGCGAACTGCGAGAATGCCCCCTCCAAGCCGAACAGTGTAGGAAAAATTTACAGGTCCTTGTCAGCCGGACATGCTCTCGCTGCGAGGTTCCCAAGGTATTTCATTGCATCTAATGGCCCACAGTTGAAGAGATATGGAAAAAGGGAAAAGGAGGTGAAAGAAGAGGAAAAAGGAAGTCTCCGCGACTGATATCCATCCGGAAAGGACTAGCCGGAAAAGGTGTTGAGTAGACGAAAAAAGGCATGAAAGACGCAATAGCCCAACAAAAAGGCTCACTGGTCATTTTACTTTTTTAGGGATATGAGATTGCACTGCATTTATTTACACAACGTAAAAGTCATAATAGGCTAAAAACTCTAAATAATCCTGAACTAAAAGAAAACAAATAAATGAATTTCCATATAAAATGATTAAAAACCAAAAAGGGTAAGAAAAATGCAAGATTGCACCCATAAAATACTTGCACCGAAAAGAAAAGAGGAAACCTTTTCGTGCCCAAGGACCTTAAAAAGAGATTATATCCAAACTTCTCAGAAGAATGGAATCTAAAACTGTTCCGTTCTGTTTTAGGAGGGGAAGCGATCTTCAGCGCTATTCAAAACCCACAGATTTTCCTACAAAGGGGTCTAAGAAGAGGGCGAAGGCAAATAAAATGCGAGGGTCCGGGGTATATTCACGAGGTATTTCCAGTCCAGTAATTGAAGGGAGAAGGAAGGGAGGAAAAGGAGGAAGAAGGAAGAAAAAAGGAAGGAGAGGAGATGCTTCTTGGTTGAAAAGGGCGAGACGTAAAAGTCGTAGCTACCACAAGAATGCTGAGTTATGGGCAAAAGTCGGATAAGCCACTAAGTGTAGGACCGGAATTACACCTCACGCTTTCCGGCCGGGCAAGCGCGCTATCCTCTCAAGTGCGAACTGCGGCGTAAAACAGCATTTACCATTATATAAAACTTCAAAAAGTCGTAGCGTTTTTAAAAAGTAAACAAATGGGAATTTGAATCAATCAATCAAGTAATAGTTCATATATTACCTAGTAAGATGTAAATAATGAGTCTTTTCAATTTGTTTGTTTCAATTACTGACTTATCTTCTTTGTATGATGTGATAAATAATTTCAATTGATTCGAAGAAGATTGAGAAAGAAGTGAAAACAAACGAAAATTCTCAAACTTTGGCTCATGTCCAATAAGGAGTCAGGTGATGAAAATACTAAAAAAAATTTGGAAATGAAGGGAAGTGGTGTAAGGAATGACTTCAGCGATTTGAAAAAATGCTGACCACCAAAAAGAATGAAAATATGATGATAATGGGGTAGGTAATAGAAGAAATTGCAAGATCTGTAGTTCGTTGGTTCTAATTGATGGTTTTTCGCAAAATCTGTTCAGAGCTCCTCTATTACTACTATTTAGAACTGAATTAAATCCAAGTGTTGAGCAATTCTCAAAAACTGTAGAAATAATGACAAAACGAACCTTTCATGTGAGTGGAACCAAGTGGTGTTCTGTACGGATACAGGTACAGGAAGGCGCGAGACGACGATCGATTCGAACCGCTCCCACTTCCTCTCCCTCTCTCTCTTTCTTTCCTATTCTCTTCCTTCCAAACAGCACTCTTATCGGGCCCCGTGAAGACGAGAGATCGCGTAGAGCGAGGAGGGGATGAACGACAGGGTCGTCGAGCCCCCCGGTCGACGAGCGAACACGATAGAACGGGAGGAATGACGACGACGATTGAGAGAGAGTATGCCCGACCATGAGACATGGAAGAGAGACGGAGGAGGATGACCAGTCGGAACTGCCACCACCTCCCGACGATGACACGCACATCGATCACACTGCCGCGCGCGGCGGATGATCTCCGCTAACTCGTCCACGTAACTCGTCCACGATTTGAGCCTGGTCGATTTGCGGCGGGTTTATGTCATTTAACGCGATCATATTGCACCTGAAAAGTTATAAGTTGTCAAGCAAGTCATCTTTTAAGTAAGAAGACCCCTCTTGAACTCAAATTAACAGGATTTTTCCTATTGAGCGGTGAGAGGTGGCCAAGTTGAGATGCAGGAACAGCGAAGCCAACCTTCACGGGTTTACACTCGGAATCCCTACGATGAGCTAGGCGCAGGGTGCTGCATCGTGATGTGTGAAATGGTGGCGTCAGTACGACCCCCCCCCTCACTTCCCTAACACCTACCACTGTCTTACAAGACCCCAGCTTCCTACCGGTTTCCCGAAATTTCTCACAGTTTCCAGTATTTCACCCGAAAACTTCCATCGTACGAGGGGGCAGGGTGTATGGCGAATGTGAAACATGAAAAACCGCGAAAAGTCAACAAGAGGTAAAAAAATTTTCCCCAGAATTTTTTTCCCAAACA